TTTCTTTTTGTAAAGTACATGGCATTTTATGTGAAGACATTGAGTAGAAGCGGCTTGCCTGGTAGGGCAGAACCCCAATACTACCAATCTGGCAGGAAAGGTCACTACCACTTATGGCTTTGAGGGGGGGCAAGGTGTTTAGTGCAGTGTGGTCAGACCAGTAGGAACACCAGATTGACTTTTCTGGTGCACCCACAACATAATGACCTCCCCACATGTAGATGGGAAAGGCTTGCACTGCTCTTGAGCATTACCACCATGTGAACATTTGAGCTGAGCCTAAGGTTGCTATCCTGAATACATTTAATAGGGAGTAAGCCCTATTGAACCCAGTAAGGCTTCCTTCTGAGTAAACATGGGTAGTATCGTTCTTTGTCTTTTCAACTAGTAAATCACTTTGTAGAAAATAAAAGTTTTGCCCTTTCACAAGGGAATTCCATGTTGTGATTAGTATTTTGCTATGTCTTTCACACCGTTTATACACAAGAAAGGTAAGATGATACATTTTTGTTCAACTGGTGCAACGACTTCATCTTGAGTGATTAACAGGGCAATTCTAGGCATGTTTAAATGCTGCTGTGTTCACTGGGATTACTCTTGGGTGGGGGTTCATACAATTTCAGCCAAGTTTCAGATTTGTAGCTGCTACCCTGTGTGCACTTACTTACGAGTAAGCCTCACCAAACTCAGTGGGACTTAATTTTGCATAGGATTGAACTTCATCTTTGTCACTGAGTTACTGGAACCTATTACAGCTGCAGCAAGGTTCTAATGTAGTATTAGAAAACATTTTGTTGCCTTAATAACAATACGTATTTGTTCTTAAGGTGAATCTCTGTTTTGTTTTGTTTAATTATTTATTAAATTCTCAGTCTTAAACTATATTTTTAGACCTAGAAGAATTAAACTGGCCCAAAGCATCCTGCTGGATTTTCCCTGTAGAATATTCAGTCAAGACTTGATGCCACAGATAAGAATTCCTCTTTGATATCCTAGAAAAAGATAAAATAACTTATCAGGATTTGGTATTAAATAGAATTCATTTCTGGTGGAAATTATGCAGAGTTGAACTAGGACACTCTCCGGTTTAATTCTCCCAAGTTTTAAGTTTATAGGAGACAAAGATTATGAAGTAACAATTCCAGAACCATTATCATTTCCCAGAGACAGTAATTAAATTACAATCCTGAAGGCAATTGTTGAAATCCTGCCTTTTTTATTCACATAGGTGACAGGCAGCTAAGTAATTGACTAATCACTTAGGGAGGCGATGTTGATGATAATACTTAGCATTTATATAGTATTTTCAGGTAATCTCAATGCCTTCTTTATATTTATCTTTCCTCGACACCCCACTCGACACCCCTCTAGGGTTTTCGCTCTGATTTTCACTATTGTTGTGGGACTTCTTGACGTTCCCCTTCTTAGGGTTCCTCTCCCCCAACAGATCTTTTTGTACTTTGTACGGGGTTAACCCAAATCTGCAGTGATCTCTCTCCTGTGTGCCAGTGGTGCATTATGGTCTACAAAAGAATGAGCACGAAAAGACTGGAAATGATACTGGTATTTGGTTGTTTACTTAATGCTTATTTATTTATTTATTTATTTATTTATTTATTTATTATTTTCCTCCAAGGAGCTTGAGCCAACATACATTTTTATCATCACAGCAACACCGTGAGATGATTTAGACTGAGAAATAATGGCTGGGCCAACATCACCCATTGAGCTTCGTAGCATTTCCATGATACTTTCGAGTGTTCAAAGCAGTTAACATGTGCCGTGTAAAGCAGGGCTCAGCAAAAAATTTTAGCCACGGGCCGGTCCACTGTCCCTCAGATCTTGTGGCGGGCCAGAGAAGCAGCACCGGGGGGTGGAGCTGGAAGAAGAGGCGAGGGGGGCAAGTAGTCCTCCCCAGCCCCAGCCGCTGCGCTTACCTTCCCAGGGGCTGCTGCCATCATCACCACCACCGCCGTTGCTTCTCATCGGTAGGCAGAGCAAGCTTGTCCGCTCAACTCTCTGGCCCACAGGAGCACCAGGGCGGAGGGAAGATGAGTGGCGCGTAAGGGCTGGTTCTGGAGAGGGGCTGCTTAAAATGGCGATCAGCCAGCTCAACCCAACCCCCTTCCTCCTCTAGGCAGGGCGGGGAGAAGCCAGGAGGAGGGAGGGAGGAGGCGCCACCGCGGTGTGTGTGAGGGAGAGGGGGAGAAGGGAATGGTCGGGGGGGGGAATGGTACAGCCCGAATGAAGAGACTCCCCACACCGATCCATGGACAGTCCATGGCCCAGATCCTGAAGGCAATTGGGCCTGATCTGGCCCACGGACCTTAGTTTGCCGACCCCTGGTGTAAGGAGCGAGGAGTATTCTCATATTACAGGTGGAATATTGAGGCTGAGAGGATTAGAGAGCTTTGAAATACCTATAGACAGTCATTGCTTAGAGTTCCTTGTGTGCTTCCATTAGAATTCTATCTGCTCAGTATTTTAGTTCCTAAAGCCTTCAGAGGTAAAGCAACAGCCATAACTGGCTTGTTGATGTAGATATACTGTATTTCCTTAACTGTGGTTTGGCTTCTTGTCTGAATTGAGTCATGATGGCTCGCTTAAGGTTACCTAGTGACTTCATGCCTGAGAAAAAGCTGGAAACTAGACATTTTCTGGCGCTCTGTTCCCATTCTTAGCTGCTATGATATACCGCTTTTCAAAACCTGAAACCAAATTCGGTTATTTTAATCCTGCCTTTATATAAACAGGCACGTGTTGTTAATTTACTTTATAAACCACTAGGAGCTTACAACTTACACACATTCTGTGGCATTGTTCTCATCTGCAAGACTTTCATGATATACCCTCTGAAAAAATGATACTTTCTGTGCACTACTAGTATTTACAAAAGATCAAATTATTCTTTTAAAAAAATAAGCATGTACCATTGGCTATTTGATATCTTAGGCTGATTACTTTCTGCACCATTATTTCCAGTTTTTAAAAAGGGTTTTGTTTTGCTTAATGACACTTTTGTAATCATTGGTATATTTTAAAATATTTGTGAATTTTTTATGTTGCTTCTTTCCAGCCTTAGCCAAGATTTTTCTAGTTTAATGAAGTTTCCCCTCTCACAAGAATGCTGAGAGAAGGGGAGTGGGGGATGGACAACAGTGGAATCTTTTGTTGGAGTCATTTATGCACAAGAGACCTCTCTTGTAAGCTAAAATAGTAAAAAGCTCTGTGCAAGTGGTTCATGAGATGATGGGTCTAATGCCCAAATGAACATTGCCTGAAGGTCTAGGAAGCCAGGCTTTCGGGACTTTTTAGCAGCTTTATAGCTTCTACTTGTCCTTCCTATTAATAACTCATTTTTTTAAAGGAGAGTGATAGCAGTGTTTGATTCACAGGATCCCCCTGCTCCTAATACTACTTTGCAATGTGATAAGTGAAGTAAGAATGTTTCGCTTCTCAATCTGGTACAAATAGCAGAATAGGTGACATTCTGCTTCTCCATGACACAGAGACTAGAACCCTGAAATTGCCAATGAAACATAATTTTACTCCTCCCCCAAAACAAAAACCTATTGCTGATTTCTGCTAATGGAAAGGAATTCAATCTCTGTTAATTTACTTCTCTCTATTATGTTTCATTTTCTGCTTCAGCTCCGCTTGAGCTCCATCTTACAACTTTCCTGGTGTGTTCAATTTATACTTCCCCCATTCAAGAGCACAAATTGTTGCATCTATTATGGTTACCTGTAGATGGCTCATTAGCCAGGGCCGTCACATTATTAAGATACAAGTAAAGAAAACATTCGTATATAAAGATGGGCAGATAGCTAAAATAAACTAAGTAGAGCATTTAGCTAGGATGAACAGAAAATGAAAATGGGTAGACTAGACACAGTTTTCCAAGTAGTGATGTATGGAAGTGTGAGCTGGACCATAAAGAAGGCTGATCACCGAAGAATTGATGCTTTTGAATTATGGTGCTGGAGGAGACTCTTGAGAGTCCCATGGACTGCAAGAAGATCAAACCTATCCATTCTTAAGGAAATCAGCCCTGGTGCTCACTGGAAGGACAGATCGTGAAGCTGAGGCTCCAATACTTTGTCCACCTCATGAGAAGAGAAGACTCCCTGGAAAAGACCCTGATGTTGGGAAAGATGGAGGGCACAAGGGGAAGGGGACAGCAGAGGACAAGATGGTTGGACAGTGTTCTCGAAGCTACTAACATGAGTTTGACCAAACTGTGGAAGACAGGAGTGCCTGGCGTGCTCTGGTCCATGGGGTCACGAAGAGTTGGACACAACTAAACAACAACAACAAGACACTTGTTTGGGGAGGTGAATGGCACTCTTTTGCACCATATGGTAAAGCAGCATGCATAACACGAGTCAGCTGATTTTCTTTTATGCTAAAACTGGTTGTGCATGCATGCACCTGTTTCTAGCATGTGTTTGCACACATAAGTAGAGCTACTGATATGATAGAACAGAACAGGAGAAAGCTTGTTTTCTTTCAGTACTTCTGCCAGTGAGAGCTATTGTTTTCCAGGAAAGAGAGCAGAACGTACAGTAGAGACGTCACTTATTTTTAGAAGGAATTAAATTAATATACATTATATACAGGCCACTAGACTGGGTGGAGGAGCTGTCAGCTTCTCTCCCTTAACTTCCATGTTGTTACGTATGCCAAGGTGATATTTTCGGTTTAACTCGGTATAAGGAAGTTTACGATTTCGTAATTTCCATGTCTTCACGCAATGGGTTACTCTGAATTGATCTGTGGCGCTGTTGAAAATAGAAGAGGATTTGCATAGTGTGTACCAGTTATTCAGAGCATGAGGATAACAGCCAAACAGGTAAACATAAAGCTTTAAAATTGCCCCCCAGGTAGAGGTTGGTAAGGGAACTTTTTCTAGCTATGGAATCATAGAATCCGTAGAGTTTGAAGGAGCCCTGAGGGTGATCTTCTACAACCTCCTGCAGTTCAGGAATCCTGCCCACAACTGTTCCTGAGTGGGCTCGAACCACCAACCTTCTGATTAACAGTCCTATGCACTGACCCATTATGCCACAGGAGGGCATCTGCTTTCTAAAAGGATGAGGAAAATAAGAACGTATGCAAATACATTTTTACACATAGATGACTTGGTTCTTCAGTTACAGAAAAACTGTTAAATTCCATCCTGGCAGGCAATTGTCCTTTGTTATGTTTGGGCAATTATTCACACCTGTATTTTACCTAGGAAAAGACTGGGTGTGGGCCTCTCTTCAACATGGGCAACATGAATAATGTTACAGGCTGTAATAAGGAAGTAACCGGAATGGAATAGGTAAAAAGTTTCATTTTTTGTGGAGGTGTGTTTCATGTGGATGTGTGTTTTGTGGAGGTGTGTTTCATGATGACAGGAAGTTTTATTATCATTGTAAAAAGGTTTTTAAAAACAAAATGAAGTGATGGGATTTTAATATATTTAGACAAATCTGGTGTTCAACAGTTGGTTCTGTTAAAACTAAGAATGGGGATCACATGACAAAATTAGAAGAAATTGGGCAAGACTCCCTACTTTTCAGGAAATTTGAATACGCAAGATGCAACTGTGCACTACAACTATTTACAAAAGATGAAAATATTCTTTTTTTTTACAGCGCCTACCTTCCAAAACAATTTTATAGTAGCTGTTAAGAGAAGAGAATTGCAGGCATTACACCCATCCTTTGCAGCCTTTTATTCACCCTTCACCAGAAGTTCCCAGGCAGGTTTCAGCAACATAAATACAAGACTAAAAACAGTTTAAAACAATATAGGCCAGTATAACTTTTCAATATTGACTATTAAATTCTGGTATCAATTTTGGCTTTGAAATTGAAAAGTTTTAAGTATAAATCATGTGTATTAGTCTTGATCAAACTGGATTTATTCAGGGACAAATAAGACAGTCTAGTACATTTTTTGTTATTCTGGGAGAACAGAGAAATATATTGCTTAGGTGGAGAAATTGTATATATATATTGGCTACTTTCGTATATATTGGCTGCTTTTTATTGTTTCTAAATATAGTTGCTATTTTTGTCTGTTAAATCTCAAAAAAGGACTTTCATCAATCTAAATCAATGTTGAAAAAATCTACCCATTTCTATGAGTCCACTGAGAGTAAGACTTAGTTGGGTATCATACATAGGAGAAAATATAAAATAGAAATTAAAGTCACTCAAGGCCTGGAAGATAGGTAGATAGATAGATAGATAGATATTTCAGCTGTTCAGATAGATAGATAGATAGATAGATGATAGATATTTCAAGGGTACATATCTGATGGTACATATCCTTTGGGAGCAAATCTGTAAAACACAGAGCTACTGCTAAAGATGCAGGGTTTGTAGATGTTGCTTCTGTTGTTGACGAGACTCATAATAAGACATAATTACTTGATCACATTTATTGAAGAGGTTCATTTGGGCGAAGACAATCCCTAATGTATCTGGACGCAAGCCATTTAGTGTTTTAAAAGTCAAAAGCTGCATTTTGAATTTATTATGGAAATTGGTGTTCTCCGCATACAGCTCTAGACAACAAATTAACCTGACACATTCTGGAGCTGCTGAAGTTTCCATTGTCTTCAAGAGCAGAACCTTATTATCCAGAAAAGGGCGTAGCTGGCATGCATGCTAGTTGAAATTAGGGAAAGGCATTCCTGGCCACAGCTATCACTGAAAATCCAGGAGCACAGCCAGATCCAGGAGGATACGCAAACTGAAAACCTTAGGACCCCACCTAAAATGGATAAATCCAGAATTTCCTGGGTTGCGCAGTTTCTCAGGAAGCACAATAAGATGAAATTTTATTTAGGTGGCATTTTAGTTTGTTCATCATCATTCAGCCCATTACTGTAGTAGCTATTTGCTGTTTGATTTGGTGTGAAGCTGGACTTTAGAAGTTGGATGGGTGGGAATAGGGAGGCATGAATTCTAGGGACAGGAGCCTGAAGGAATTCCATCTGGCAGCGAAGGGTTGAGCAATGATCAAATTACTTGGTGACCTGCTGTTGCCTGTTGTTTCACCTGTGAAGCTGCCACCATGCAAGAATATATTTTGCTGTCCTGCCCATGGGGACTGTAATGTGTGAAGCAAGCGTAAGATAAGAGGCTTGAAGTGGCTGCCTGCAAGTTGGTTGTCCCAACCAGCCATCTGTGTTCCAGCTGTCTGCTGCACAATTATTTATCTGTGGCTTCTATTGTACTTGTATTTTCTTCCTACTGGTGAATATCCACACAAGGATTGCCAACTCCAGATGTTCAGCAGTCGGCTAATTTGATTTTAAAACATAGTTGTTTTTTCGGCTTCTGTCTTAAGGACATAATGATCCTCGCGAAGACATTGTTAATCATTTACCCTTCTCCATGTGGCCATTACACTTCCTTAAATTAATTACTATTGGTTTTATGAGTTCAAAATCAGAGCTATAGGGAACAGTTAATTTGTTGAGCTTCTCAGTATACCATGAGATCTTGTATGCCAGATTCTTCTTTAGTGCGCAAATCTCAGCGGAGAAAAGTAAATGTATAGCAGAGCTGTCTGATGTATGCGTTAATGACATGGGGAGAAGAGCGACCAGGGACATGGCAGAATCGGCAGATGAAACATTATTTATGATATTTAAACCTTAAGTAGGCTATGAGGAGGAACCCCAGAAGGATATTTTAGCACTGAAAAAATTGGCAGCAGAATGGCAGATAAAACTCAACATTAACTGCAAACTGTTGCTTATGGAGACTAAATCTCAAATATTTACTCATGCTTTGGTTCCGTGTGGTGACCGGTGAGGGCTGTGCTGTTTTCACTGACATTTGTAGCCCCCAGAATGAAGAAGGGATTTTATTCCCTAAACATCTTTCTACTGGTTTAAGTAGTGCGTTGCTGCTCATTTGCTTATATTCTTATGTGTCAGAATTGTTGTTATCTCATTTTAATATTGAAGGGCCCTTGGCACAAAAGTGGGATACAAATAGTTTGATAAAGAAAATACAGAAACAGCTGGTTTGCAGCCAAAAAGCCCCAACATTTTGTTCTGTCATAATTAATATTCAAGTGATTTTTTGTTACTAAAGTTGTAGCGCAGCTAGCAAACTTGTTCAGAACCATTTTGGGTATATGAGAAGACAACTGTGTCATAGACATAGATCAAGATGGGAAGATTCCTATAGTTGACCATGGGAGGCTTGGAAGTTCATCTGAACTATGATCTTTCGATAAGAAGAGCAAAATTATAACTTTGCTTAATCCTGCAAGAAATACAAACTGAATTGGATAGAGGATCAATAGAGGTACACTTTACCCTCAAATCAGTAATAGCCATAATGAAGTTTTTAATCAGCAGTTTATGATACAGTTTTATCTGTGTAAGATTATCTCAGAGTTTTTGTCTAACAATAGTATTCTAAAACTGCTCTAATGTTAACAAGCGCCAAGTAAAATGTAGCTTACTTGTATATTGTGCTCACGGACAAGTCACTGATCAATAGTGGAATGGGCAGCCTCTGGAAACCAGCTTGTTCTTCCACAAATGCATTACTTCCCAGGATCTATTCCTATAGCTTGATGATTTGTAAAATTTATGCAAAAAAATAAATAAATTTGTTGCTCAGACAAAGTAGTTGAAGGGCAAATTCCTCTCACTTTCACCCCCACAAGATGGGTACCATTATACTGACATTCCACACAGAAGGAATGCAGCTTGTTAACATTCAGTAAAATGTTGCTTTAAAACAAGGAAATCAGCTTCTTTAAAAATTGTAAGAACTGTTAACAATGACTAGGGTTTCTCTGAATAAAGACAATTCACCAACATTTTAACCTTGGAACACTAGGGTCAGCCTACAGCTGTAAAACTAAGTGGTCTTAGGCAGTGGTCCTGGGCATCTACTAAGTAGTCCTAGGCCTTTGCTACTGGTTTACTGCATGTTTTCCTTGATCTTGGTTTAGTGATGCCTGCAATTATAGCAAGAAATGCTTGGCTATGCTTCTAGGCTAATACCAGATTGCTGTAGAGATAAAGGGCCCTTGTAAGCAAATGATGCCATAATGGGAAAAATTCAAAAGGTGAATTGCTGTAGCTCCATGATTGGAGGAGCCTCCCCTCCCCCTCCTTGAGAGGACAATTAGGACAATGGGAGAGGTGAAATACCTCAGAAAATATAGGGGGAGGGGAAGATAAATTGGAATGTATGGGTATGGGAGGGGTTGGGATGGAGGTAAGGGATTAAATGGGATGGTTAATGGGCTAGATAAGTGTCATAAGACACGAGACCAGAAATTAAGAACTACATTCAACTCATGGATAATGAAATAAGGATTTCAACCTTCAGCTTTAAAGGGCTGGGGTCAGTTATGAAAAGGAGGAAGATAGAAACATTACTGAATAAAGATAAAGCAGATATAATATTTATACAGGAAACACATCAGATGAAAGAGGGGGTTAATGAAATCAAACTGAGAGGTATAAATAATTATGAGAAAGCATATGGTACTTCTAAATCAAGAGGGGTAGCAACTATAATTTCAAAGAGATGCGGGTTTAGTATACTAAAGATGAAGAAAGATTCTGAGAGAAGATGCATTATAATCCAAGGAACAATGGCAGGGGAAGAAATCACTATGTTAATATTTGTGCTCCTACTGAAAATCAGATGGATTTTTTTGATAAAGTGTTTAAGGAAATGGAGGACATTCAAAAGGGCTACGTGATTATGGCAGGAGATTTCAGTATGGTATTAGATAAACGATTGGATACCAGTAAATTCCCCACTAACTCTGTTGGTTGTGATGATAGAATATTTCCCGGTAAATTTAAAAAAGGAAATTGAAAAAGAAGAAAATACTTAAAATAATTATTGGGTGGAAAAAATGAGAAGCAAAGAACAAATAAGAGAAGCTCTAACAGGAAGTAAAATAACTTGTTTAACTGTATACAACTGGAGTAAGGGACAAAGAAGTGGTTAAGGGAAAACAAGAAATGCAAAGAATATACAGAATTTGAAAAAATGTTTATAAAAAGGGGAAATAAAGAAGAAAACATAGTTA